CAGAGCAGTGCTGAATTTGTAACAAAAAATATGTGACAAATTATGAATTTCAGATTTTTTTGTAGGCCCATTAAACTTTTACACTTTGATACTTACTATGCGTAGGCCTACTGCGATCTGTCAGAACTGAAGTGCATCCATTTAAGTGGTGGAAGAAGCATGCCTGATGAGATAGGACACTGCAGGACAAACCGGCCCTATAGCGCCTACTCTCCACCTTGAACCCCCCACTAACCTTTCAGCTGTAGTCTGTAACATCACGGACTCCTGTAGTCCGTTTTTGGGAACACCAAACCGGTTGTTGGCACAGGTTCATGTATGTTGACCTCTGCTTGACAGCAGGGTCGCAGGCATGGCGCAAAATCCTGACATTTACGTGGAAAAGACAACTTTGGGGGGGGCGTCGAGGGGGGGTCTCGGGTTTGGAAATCCACGCAAGGTTTCCCAGGGAGGTAGTGGGCTGGAAACGGTGGCGCGTGGAAGCTGGGATACGGATAAAGGACATATCCGCCGAACTGAGAAACACCGACTAGGCCCTGTGGAAAAAGTCAATAAAGCATTATTATTAGGCTATAATAATACTACTACTAGGCTACTACTACTACTAATAATAATAATAATTAAAATAATTAAAATAATAATAATCATCATCATTAGGCCTATTATTGCACAATAATAATAATAATATTCATCATCATTAGGCCTATTATTCCATAATAATGATAATAATAATAATAATAATAATAATAATAATAATAATAATAATAATAATAATAATAATAATAATGATTATTATTAGGCCTATCACCATCAATATTATTGTTATTTATTTATTTTAATTTTAAATATTGTACCAGCGCATGGTGTTGGAAGTTTAGTGGAAATCCCGACGTCGCGGTGGTTCTGACGTGGTGTGACGAGAGGCCGGTCTCCACGGAGGTTCCTCCGTATGACGTCACATGGCGGGTGGTCCTGGTGTAACCGTACAGCGAGGCCTCACGCGACTTCACCTCGCCAGGTGAGCTCACGTTCCCGGCTTTTATGTCTCTGCTTTCCACAAAGTATCTGTGTTGGTCTTCCGGCGTCCACGCGCTTCCTTTGACGGTCGTTAGTTTGACCACGTGTCCTTGCTCGGGGTCACTTTCCCTTTCCGCGTCCGCGCGCGACGGCGGCTCCGGTGTCGCGTTGTTAGCGCGGCGGTCGCGCGCCACGCGTGTCGTTTCCCCGGGACTTTTACGCGCGTCTTCTCTGGTGTCGTCGGAGCCGCTTCCCGGGTCGCTGTCGCTTTCCCCCTCCGCTTGGAGAAAAATGATACGTGTTCATAAGTCAGACGGGTTCATATTTAGACACAGGAGAGGGGGGGGGGGGGAGGGGCGGAGGGACAAACCGACATAAGGACATGAGGTCTGTACCGGAGGATTTGGAGACATCTGAATACTCTCGCTCTGAATCCTTGAACCGTTTCACTTTGTTTCTGTTCTCCCTCGCCTCCTTTGACTTCTGTGATAGATGCTGAACTTTCCTTGGGGGGGGGGAGAAAAAAGAAACGGGAAAAGTTACGAATCTCTTTGAAAACATTGAAATATTGCTGTATTGTTTGACATGATTCATGATTCCGGGGTGAATTCACCTTAAAATAAACTTTCTAGGCCTAAATAGCCTACCACATTTTAAGTGTTAGGCCATATATTTTATTCCTATTCATGAATGTGTTTTTTGGTGTTCGGCCTCTATAGGATAGTCAGTGTAAACATGTAAAAGAGAGCCGAGCAGGTATATTGGGCCTCACAACACAACTTGCCTCTTCTCTCTCCGGCCGTTTCCCGTGTCCCGGAACCCTTTGGCAAAGGGGTTGTTGTCTATCTTTAGTTGGGTAATCTGAAGACGACAACATTTTATAATACTCCTTTTATGAGGTGTCAAATTCAAGTGAAACGACCGATCAACACTTCGAAGTTTGTCAAACACTGAACAGAAACGACGATCAACAGTCACTCGTTATTGTCTTATTTATAAGAGTTCACACACAGATTGGTCTAGTTGGAGAGATATGATGAGGTTCTGGATTACCGTTTCACGTGAAACAGGACTATGATCCTGTTAAACATTGTACAAGAGTTGGCCATGGTGTTTATGATCATTTTAAAAAGCCTGACCTTGTCGTTCTGGTAGGCCGTCACCGCGACGAACTCCGTCTCTGAGAAGACGCAGGTTTTGAAGGTGCTGTAGGGGAGCTTCTGGATGTCATTGGCCTTCACCACGTGAAATCTCGGCTGATATTTGTGCATCGAGTTGAGTATTGTCTGCAAAGAAGAAAAAAAAGAGCAATCACGAATTTAATGAATCTACAGCCTACAATTTATTTAGCCTATTTTGCTTCAACAGTGCATTTTCTTACTGAGTCTAATTGAATGATATCCTTTTAAAGCTGCAAGGCAATTGTGAGAGCGAAATATCCCAACATCAGGGGGAAGAGCTCTATTGACACACAGCCTACATCACTGAATAAACACACAGGCCTATAGGCCTACTTGCACATCCACAACAGCCTTTCTATCATCTATTTTTTGTTCTTCTAAATGTTGGAAAAACAGCCTTACGACATACAAAGCCGTGCTTGTCAGAGATGTTGTTGGTCAGTTTGAGTTTGTTGAAGTTGACCGTCTTGGACATCCAGTGGTCCCCGGAGGCGGGGCTGTCCGGGTGAAGGTACATCCGCCTGGGCATCTCCGGGTCGGCCTTCCCGGCCACCGTCCAGCGGGACCCGTGGTACTTGTACCTGCAGTCGTCCGCCGCCACGATGTCCATCAGCAGGATGTACTTAGCCCTCCTGCTGAGGCCGGAGCACCGGACTTTGAACGGCGGGAACATGCGCCTGCAAGGAGAGAGCGTCGCCGCATCGTCAGCATCAGCATCATCAACGGTCTCAACGGGGAAACGGGTTTTAAACATTTGAATGTGTCGTCTAGGCTTATTACCTTCCGGATTTGGTGATGACCATCTCGGTGCCGTGTTGGTGGAACTGCCTCCACAGCTCCTTCGCTTCCAGGTGAACTTTTGGTTCATCCTCCTCTTCCTCCAACGTCAGCTCCGTCCCTTTCCGCGGCGAGACGTACAGAAGCGGTCCCCGTGGCGTCGGCGGGGCGGTCGGGAAGAAGGAGCAGCCCGCCGGTACCGACACCGACCCCAGGGAGACCGCGTCCGCGTCCGCCGCGCCGTTGGCGGCGTAGAGCCGCGCAAAGTCGCCGCCGCCGGAGACGCGCGGGTCCAAGAAGCTGTGCAGCATGGCGCCGAATCAGAGGGGGGGCTGAGGCTGAACTTTACGCGCCGCTTCGGGGGGTTTTGAGTGAAGTCACGACGATGCGTCCTCATTTAACGCCGAATAAAACGCTTACGCCGCATCTCGCGGACACGTCAGAGCAGTCACTGAAACTAGACTGAAGTGTCACGACCGCAGAGGTGTTGTAGACACGGATCCGTAGACACGGAACCGGAGCGCCTCTTGACGTCGCCGCTTTCTTGTGTCTGACTTGCTCACCACTGGGGCACCCGAGGGTGGTGGTGGTGTTGTTGGCCCTGGTCCGGTTTGGACTCAGCTTGTGTTTTTACACTCCGCGGTGTGGGTGTGGGTGTGGTTTTCCACGGCGCTGCACCGTCCCAGAAACACATCTATTAAAGAGGACGGGACGTGCGGAGGCGCCAAGTCATCACGACGCAGCGCAACGATGTGCAGCAGCAGCCGTGGTGCGTGTGTGAAGTTGGTGAACGTGCGTTGAAGTGGGTTGAGTTTGAGTTTTATTTAATGCTTGCTTATATAGCACAAAGCTGAGTAGAAGCAGAATTGAAACACAATAAAATAGCACAAGACAAAACACACATATACAACTGAAGAAAGAAGTGTCCATTTTGTTTAGTTTATATGCTTTCGTTTTTAAACTTGAGACAGTTGATAACTGTGCTTAGTGTTTAGTCATGGCATCATATGGCTAATTTAAGCCTATCAGCAACAAGAAGAGAAGCATATGAAGTATCTTCAACATTGAAATACTTTTATACTCAATCTTTTATCTTAAATCTCTCACATCCGCAATGTAAGTATATTCACTCACATTGAATATGAGTCAACCCCTATTCATGGGATAACAGGTGAGTGACAGTACTGGCCCCAGCCTGCATGTATCACGTTACATGTGGTTAACCTTGTAACATTTGACCAGGTACAAGAAAACATTTTATAAGAAATTGGAGAGGGGAAGTATCCACCATGTCAAATAAAAAGGATTATAATATCATTAACAGCCACTAGTGTTTAAAGCTTTATAGTCTTTCTTTCTTCGGGTCTTTGTGGTCACCATTTATGCAGACATAAATTCATATTTAATTCATATTCAATTCCAAAATAATTCTACTCTTTGTGGCAATATAGACACACATTCATCCAACATACCATCAATGAACAGAACAAAAATATTTAAAATATTGCATGGAGTAATTGGTCCCCTGGAGGAGTGTGTGTGTGTGTGTGTGTGTGTGTGTGTGTGTGTGTGTGTGTGTGTGTGTGTGTGTGTGTGTGTGTGTGTGTGTGTGTGTGTGTGTGTGTGTGTGTGTGTGTGTGTGTGCGTGCGGGTGTGTGCAGGTGCGTGTGTGCGTGTGTGTGTGTTTGTGTGCACTTGGGGTGGTTGGAGCGCGTCCGGCCCAGCTCTGGCCTGACTGTCTCCCTCACACCTGCTCTGTTTGGACAGAACGGGTGAGGAGTCGCGGGTCGGTGAGACCAAACATCTCTGGGCCCCAGAGGTGGGAGGAATGTAGTTTGGTGGCGGCGGAGCAGAGTGGAGGTGTTAAAGGAGAGGAGGTGCTAAAGGAGAGGAGGTCGCTGGGAGCCCTAAACCGCAGCAGACGCTGAATGTGTTCTCGTTCGTGAGTTCTTGTTTGTAGAAACCACTCTCCACCCTGGGTTCCTGGATTTACAGCATTAAGCCGCTATTCAGTTCACCCTTTTTGTGCAGGATAGTCCACCAGACTATAGGGTGTTCGACTCCCAGCCGAAAGGTTTTGGGTTCGATCCCCCATCTCCACAGTCTACCAGTGGCATCCTGTAGAGCAAGATGCTCTATAGTTTCAACAGAGAGGGGAAGACGAAGAGTACAGAAAGCTGTGACAGATGACCCAGTAAAGTGTGTTGGTCAGATCTGCTGGGGAAACAGAAGCCAACCTATAGGGTAATGTCAGAAGATAGATCTGTGTGTGTGCGTGTGCGTGTGTGTGTGCGTGTGCGTGTGTGTGTGTGCGTGTGTGCGTGTGCGTGTGTGTGTGTGTGTGTGTGATTCACAGGGCGATGCAAAGCATTCCTAACATTTTCCAGCCCCTCAGATCCTTCCAGAAGGTGTGAGAGTGAGGAGACGTAGGAGGAGAGATGAGAGAACACAAGAGCATGCTCCACATATAGGGCAAAAACACACAGATCAGATTAGAAACATGCTTAAATAAATATGTAATCCTGTAATCCATCTTTAAAACCATCTCTAACAACAGCTGTACTTGACAGAGCCACTGTTAATGCTTGTTTTTAATATATAATATTATTTGATGTTTTGTTATATTTTGATATTGTTGCTGGTATGTTTCGGTATAGCTATAAAAATAATCTCATTAGCCATGAGATTGTTTTACTTGCTATAAAACAAATCTGAGTAATTGTGTTTTTTTAGTCATTGAAATAATAAAAGCATGAATTATTGTAGTCATGTATGAATATCACTAGGCTACATAGGTTATTGCAGGCCTGTTATTATTTTTAGTAAGATCACACAGTTATCAGATGATATTTGGTTGGGACTAAATGAATGCTGTACTGTACTGCAGAGGGAACAAACCGGAACACTTTTTTTATGACCGAATGAATGAATGAGTACCATCATTGTATGCAATAATGAACGAATGAATGAAAACCAAAAAAATAATATAATAAATAATTTTAAAAAAACTTGTACGGGCTTTACTCGAAAGAGAGACGGTTTATGCGGAGAAAAACCGCAAAAGAAACAACAACTGTCTAAATGCGAACAGAGGCCATGAATCTTGTTTGTGAGCAAGTCGGGGAATGACGGAGCTCCGAGGACAGGAGGAGGAGGAGGAGGAGGAGGAGGAGGAGGAGGAGGAGGAGGAGGAGGAGGAGGAGGAGGAGAAATCAATGTTGACACATTAGAACAATGAGCTTATTGAGAGGCGAGCAGATCGAAGAGGGTTAAAAAGCCTCCTGCCGCACTGTGTCGAGGTGATGACTGCTGGCGTGTGTCTATAGCTTCATTTCCAACCACCTTTCAGGATAAAGCACCGTCAAGAAAACCATCAATGAGCCATGAGGACAGCATGAGACTGCGGAGCATCTTTGACGAGCACACAAATGGGAAATACTGAATATAGGCCTTTTTATATATTGTGGTTTTAAAATTGTGTGTGCCAACCGTATTTTTCTTTTGGCTTACATATGTATACATTGTTATCCTACAGCAATATTACAGCAACGTTTTTTTTAATACAGCCTAGTTTTTGTTGTTTGGGTCAGTCATTTATTATTTGAATCAGTTTGAACATTTTGATTATTTGATTATTTGAATAATAATATGATAATAATATGAATAGCACCATATCATTATGCATACAATTATTATGATATTAGCCTATATTATTATATTATATGTAGTATTATTATTAAATCATTAATAATCATATAGGCCTACCATTGCTTACTTTACTGACTCACTTTTTAACGAAACTTTGCCGATGTTATAGGCCTATATAGTTATATAGCTTACTACAGCCTTCAATGTTTTCTTACCTTTTAAAAATATGAATGTGTTCACATGGAGGAGATAACCACTAAACAAACAAATGTGGATTCATTCATTGAATCAAAGTGTCAGAGAAAGTACTGCAAAGTACCGTACTGCATTATCACAGCAGCATCACCTCCAGCCCTGACAGGCAGGCTATTCATCTAACCCTTCTCACTTCAAACTAAAGCTGCTTCAGACACTTTCCACTACAAGTTGCAGCACTATTTCGTTAAATTTACTGGCTGGCAGACACTCGCTAATTTTGTGGAGTAGCTTTTCACTGCCTGACAGCTCAGTAGTTTATTTAGGCAAAGTTTATAGGAGGACATGTGTTGAAGGCCCAGACAACAGCTTGCATTGTCTGATACAGTAGAGTCAGCCATTTTGGTTCTTTCATTTTATATAAGCCACATAACGCATCACATCTCTTTATAGATAGACATATTATCTGAGTATTTTTTTTTCGCAGTTCTTGTTTTTATTTTGTTTTGTTTTTTTATCTCTTTTTCGGAAAAATCCGTGTGTCACAGCAGGACAGCAGAATGTCCTGCTGTGACACACGGATTTTCCGTCTGGGATTAATCTTATTTGTATCTTATTTTACTTAATAGAGTGATAAACCAGTAGGCCTACGTATAAACATATACATGAATCAATGAATAATTGAAAGAATTATTGGCATTTTCTTCTTTCTTTCTTTCTTTCTTTCTTTCTTTCTTTCTTTCTTTCTTTCTTTCTTTCTTTCTTTCTTTTTTTATGAATGAATTAGCAGTTTATTAGCAGTGTTCCTGAGTGAAACATTGATCGCGAAAGTGGCTGGACGACACACAGCCCTAATAGCGCACTGTCCTTCGGAAATGAGCTCTTCAATTAAGCAGACGCGTCTTTCCGCGGGTCAGCACTACGACCGGTGGGTTGGTGGGGGGGGGGGGGGGGGGGGGGGGGAGTGTGGGTGAGGGGGGGGGGGAGAGACGGGAGAGACCCCATTAAAGACCATCCGACACATCCAGACGCCATATCTCACCCCGCCCGATCGACTGAGCCGGCGATATCCCACCGCAGCCGTGGGTTTGAACAGTGTGAGTATTTATGTTCAGAGGTGTTTATTCTGCTCCTAATGGCCGCCGTCCCGCCGTAGATAAAGGTGACAGTTACAGTCTGCTGCTGTAAGTGGCGGGGGATTGATGGAGGAAGTGTTGTTGGGGGGGGGCGATCTCCGCGGTCTCCGTGCGCGCAGCAGGTCGTGGTGATCCGTGATGAGGGATCTGCGGACATGATGGATCCGGACACACACACACACACACACACACACACACACACACACACACACACACACACACACACACACACACACACACACACGGTGGACATGATGGATACACACACACACACACACACACACACACACACACACACACACACACGGTGGACATGATGGATCCACACACACACACACACACACACACACGGTGGACATGATGGATCCACACACACATGCACACACACACACACCCACGGTGGACATGATGGATCCACACACACACACACACACGGTGGACATGATGGATCCACACACACATGCACACACACACACACCCACGGTGGACATGATGGATCCACACACACATGCACACACACACACACACACGGTGGACATGATGGATCCACACACACATGCACACACACACACACCCACGGTGGACATGATGGATCCACACACACACACACACACACACACACACACACACACACACACGGTGGACATGATGGATTCACACACACACACACACACACACACACACACACACACACACACACACACACACACACACACACACACACACATGGTGGACATGATGGATCCAGTGAACAATGTTCATCACCATATACAGTTGGATAGTTGAGGATAGTTTGGAGTGTCCACCCAGATGTATGATGGATAGATCTGCCTCAGTTGGTACAGTCCATGGGTATAGGTCTATCCATCATACATCTGCAGTGAACACTCCACTTGTGATGTCACTAGGGGGTAGATTTTGAAATGGCTTGTGTGGCAGTTTACCTCTGCCACACGCCACCTTAGTGGCTTTTGCTGGGGCCCTCCAAAACAGGACACAGGTTAAGGAGTGCATTTATTGGAGATGGCAAGATGGTATTTGCTGAGCAGATGTAACATACTGCCATGACTCTCTCTCTCTCTCTCTCTCTCTCTCTCTCTCTCTCTCTCGTGTGTGTGTGTGTTGATAGCTGGTTTATCCTGGGTGGCATGGTTGCTCTGCACCACAGGTCCTGAGCAACAGCCTCACCCAGGCCAGGTGAGGCTGTAAACCAGCTACAACACACACTCCACAGCTTGTCATGGCTAATCAACGTCACACCTTTTGGTAAAATAGTTGCCCTAAAAAGTATTTGTATGATTTATTTTTAATAATCACTAATTGAGAATCAGAACAACAATAAGAATTTTACATTGCGTTTTCTTACACCTAATTGTCCACATGAAAAAATAAACAAGACATCTCAGAAGCACAGATGTTGTTGGCCTGTAAAAACCCTCTCCTGCTATGATGGGAATCATTTGACTCCAATTGTGTGCAAGGGAACAGCTGTGTGGAGTTTGAATAACGCTTAAATATTCCTATTCCTTTACCTGACCTTGCCAATACAGATTACAGCATGGGTCCGGACTGGATATAGACATGCAACACAGCCCTCAGCACTCGATGAGAATGAGTTTAGGGTTTGATTTATGATTGAACACTTTATTTGTTGGTCTCTGAGGTTGACCATGGGATACACTACAGGGGCTTGGTTATAGGGATGCTTCGGGTTTCAGGGTTGGATTAAAATGCTCTTCTGGTCCAGGGTCGCTGGACTGCATAGTCCCTGGGGAAGATGGAGGAGGAAGTACCCTGGAGTCACTGTCGGATTGTATTATGAGTTAGTGGAGTCTTTCTGTCACATTTCTGTTTGCTCTTCTCCCCACTCTATTGTGGGGAGAAGATTTCACTCTATTAAACTTTCTCTATATGTACAAGCCAAGTATTCATGAAATTAACTTTCAGTCAACAATCATACAGTTTCCCTTCCTCAAACAATCCATTATGTATCACAAAATGTGTGAACCTCTTTCATTATTTGCATAACTTCAGGGTGTATGAGATATCCGTTTGTAATATAATAAAATATAATTGTATTTCCACTACTACACAGACGTCAACTCAAAAATTGTCTTTACATT